CAGGCCTCCCTCTCCAGCCTTTCCTTTCCAGCACATTTAGGTGGAACCAAGTGCCTCTCTCACGCCATAATTCCTGGCTCCTTTCCTTCCTTCAGTAGGAGCCCCCAGACACCAGGACCCTCAAAGACTTGGCAGATGCTGAGCCCTGGGTCCCAGTGGAGAAGGGTCGGCCTTGAATCGGCCTCGCGTAGAGCAGTGAGAGGCACACGGGGCGTGCGCCCCTCCCATCGGCAGAGAGCAGATCTGAGGCCTGCTCCCCAGGCATGAGACGTGAACTGATACCGGGGAGCTCTCGTCTGGTGATGAGCTCCGAGAAGTGCCGTGGTGTTTTCTCAAAGCAAAGAAAAACCGGGCACATTCCTCTGGCACATTTCTCCATCACAGCCCGGTGCCCGGGGGAGAGTGATGCTGACAAACTACAGACAGGCTCCGCGTGTCTGAAGCCGGATTCTTCAGCGAGAGCTCCACGTGGCACTCCCTCAGCACCCAGTGATGGAGGGCTGTGCCAGGTAATTCTTTTGTTGACGGATGTTGGCGACATCACTCTGGCAGAATTACTACCCGTGCTCCCCTCCATCCGAGGTCCTGCTCTGATCAATGCAGATCCAGGGGCTGGTCAAGAAAGTGCTGATTTTCTGGTTCTTGTCACAATCCCCAGCAGACTGTCCAGGTAGAAAGGAAATGCTCTTAAATGATGTGACATCACCCAGAAAGTCTGCCCTTCTTCCGTGTGCACTGCCCCCAGCCAGCCTTCCTCAGGTGACTGCAGCCTACTCCCTCACGTCCGTGCAACGCAACAGCTGCCCAGTCCTGCGTTTCCAGTCAGCTGAGAAGATCAAGTCTGTCCCTCAGAGGGAGAGTCACCACACTACCTGCTGGCCAGAAAAGCCAACCCCCTGCCCTACAGCGGCCTGTGAAATTTTGAAAGGCTGGCCACACCTGAGGCTCCATCGCCCAAGTCTCCAGACCTGGCTTACCCAGGAAAACAGCAGGCGAGCCTGAGGAGAGGAGGAGGAGGGAGAGATGGGATGCAGGATGCAATGGCGGCAAGGAGCCAGTGGGCTGTGGGCTTCAAGGCTTCCGGCGGACCCCACAAAAAAGTAAAACCTCAGACATCA